CACCAGGCCCTGATCAGGTGGATAGCACTAGGCCCTGATCATGCATAGCGTTACATTTCCTATCAGGCCCGGGTGTGGTTGCCGTGACAGGGCCGTATCTATGTTACGGCACAGCGGACCAGGACCTGATCAGTCAAGTACGGAAATTTCTACTCGGGTAGGGTCGAGTTGGCGGAGTTGGTTTGCGTTCGGGGAAAGGATTTTTGGTGAAAAATCGACGCTTCTGCCCCAGTGTTTCTCAAAATATCATAAAAATTAATTCCTCTGAATAAACATATTCCATAATCAGATGTATTGCATTATGTACTTATAAGAAATACTGTTTTCCATGCAAATATTCGGCAAGATTTTTTTTTAATGCTTGCAACTTAATTAGCCAATTATCTCTGATTTGTACAGGGGAACAGGCAGGGTCGATATATTATCACAGAGAAATTTCCGATTAAGTACAAATCCATTTCCAAGAGTAGCTCATGAAATGAGCTATTCCAAACGTATTCATTCCACAAAATTCACAAATATCGCTTATTCAGTGAAAATTACAGTCCAAGTGCATTAAATTAATGAAATTGAGAGAAAATATTTATCTTTTAGTTTCTTATCTCTTTTCAATTCATATAAAAATCTCGCAAAAAAGCTCATTTTCTGTTTTTCCAAAAAAGTTATTCACCGAGTCTGCAACAAATATAGAGATAAATATTCACTAAAAATGACAGAACTCATAATTTGTTCACAGATTACACAAGTGACTCACAAAATTTGCATGACAGTATTTTTATTTTTCCCACGAAATTTAGACAAAATCCCTGAATATTGGAAAAACATTGCATAAAAGTTTTGTAATACTTTCTTCGACCAAAGTTCATTTAAAAATTACGGAAAGAATTATCGTTCGCATAAATATTTGTTTGCGTGCAACATAATAATTTTGTTGAATTTTCACATAAAATATAGTACTAATCAATGTAGTAGCACGGAGAGAAATAATCAATAAAAATGACGGACCCTCTTCCATCATTCTGGAGTGATTCTGGACTGATGTGTTTGAGGAAAATTTGACGCACCGGTTACGGAATTTTTATCTGAATTTAGTGGGAAAAATGGGGGTACAGTGAGTGAAATTTGCCAAGGCACTTTGACAATCGTTGAGAAAATAGTGAGTTCGGTATTTTATTCGAAATATTGTGTTGTCTTTATGACGAGTGGAAATGGATTTTCTCAATGAAAATAGAAAAAGGCGTTGGGTGTCACATGGTCGGTAGGTCCCGCGCATCGTGTGACGGTACGTGTCGCGACACCGGATTACTTGGCGCGACTTTCAAGGAATCCGTATCGTTGTCAGCAAGAGCTCATACACACAAACACAAAACTGAGCCAAGTATTGGTTCTAATACAGTGGTAGATTGAAATGGCAGCCATACGACAGAGTGAGATCGAGTCTTAAATGCCTCCAGACTCGGTAATTCGAGCAACCTCGAGAAAATCTCTCGAGTTAATACTCCCCTCTCCCTTTTAGCCTTTTCTCACACCCCCAACCCCACACCTTTTGTCGCTTCTTGACTTGAACGAACCCCTTAATTAAATCCGACGCTACGAAATCCGATCGAAACTCAAGTCGAGTCCAATCAACGTTCTCTAACGCTAATCAAAGGACTTACAGTTATTTTACATTGTGTATTCAGTCTGTTTCATTACTCCTCAGTCAAAGGTGATTTTCTTCAATTTATACTGATGACAAATTCCCTGAATAGGTGTGATCAATCATCTTGATTGGTTATGCCTTCACAGAGGCATTTAAACAATGTCAAATGCAATGGGCTGTATTATTTCTGCACTCGTGCAGAGGTCTTGACACTTTTCCTTCGTCACATTTTGACGTGGAAATTTCTTCATGAGTGTATATTCACGTTTATTTAATTTACCTGGCAAATTGGAGCCATGTGCGGACTTCCTGGCGTTGGGAGCAATCTTGAAGAATTCGATCTTTCCTTCAATTACTAATTACTACCGATATCACAGAGATATTCAATGAAATCACTCAATTTTTATCATTTTCATAACACAAAACAGATCAGAACAGCGAATTTATTATTGTTGTCAACTTAATTATCAACGCAGATTAGTTTTGGCGATTTATTCTATCATGATTGACATGTCAATTCCGTTAATTAGTTTGGTCAATTGTTGTCGAGTTTAATGTTAATTTCAAGTTGTGGAATTGAACAAGATGTAGCAATTATTGGAGACGAGAGGTGGAAGAACGTTGCACCTCGACGGCCGGGTGTAAACTGTCGCGTGCGACATTCGAGAGAACCCAACTAACACCAATGAATCCCCCTCTCTGCCTCCTTCAGCAGCTTCATACCCCCTATTACCCCTCATTTCCCACTACCCTGAGGAAATCCCTTCCACCTAGGGTGAATCCCCACCAGGATACTGGGCTGCTCCGCGGGACAATTCATCCCTCCGTCGGGGGTTTATGTGCGTGAACGCGCCGTTCTATCTGCCTGGATGAATGTCAATTTTTATGGGGCTTTTATTATTTCGGAGAGTGCAATTGAATTTTAATGGAATTCAACGATACATTATTTCAAAATTTCTCACGCTTTTTATTGCATCCCATTAATCATTTGACAACAATGGAGAAATACTTTGCAATTAAGTGAAGTTAATCGGTATAGCTGATTAATTATTTATTCTATTATTATTTCTACAGTTTTTAGATTTCAGGAAAGACAAAAAATCCAGTAAAAAGTTTCGCAGTCTTTCCTAATTACGAACATATTTCCAAAAAATTGCCCTAAGTGATCAGTTAACTAACTACATTTTACCACTTGATTACGAAATTCAATTAAAAGGCAGTGTCTTGATTATCTTGCATGCTTTGCGATAATGACGTATTTTCAATGACAAGAAATAATGTGAAATTGTACGGTGAATTATTTGGATGTAAGAATGATGAATCGAGTTTTCAAATAATCTGGATTTATTTCCCCCTATTCTACCCCTTGTCTCGTGAATCTCGATGTTCGCTCTCCCACTCTGAATCTCTCGGAGGGATATCATCCCCACTGTTATCAAATTCCCCCCACCGTTGGCAGGCTATCATCCCTCTCTGGCCACACCTCCCATTACAAAAATTACACCGACCGTTGATTTAGTGTTGCGCAGCGGTTCTACTCACCATCAGGGGGGGAATGACGACCGAATGAAGTTGAGGAGGGGAGCATTAAGGATCACCAGCCGAATGGGAAACTAAGTAATGAAAGGGTTGCCGGTATGCGAGAATCACGGAATCATTCGCCAGATTAAATTAGAAAAGATACGAGTTTTTTCTTTAACTGGCAAATAGACGGAATCCATTCGCTTTTTTTTTTAATTGCAATCTCATGTCGATTTTTCGACTCTAATGACGATCATGTCATCCTTTTTAAGAGTTGATTTAAAAGGTTACGACTTTGTTGTCTTTGCTCGCTCGATCCCCATCTCTTTTAAATTCATTATTTATGTCAATAATAACCAACGAAAAGAGCCAAGTTAACTAATTGATAAAATTCATTGACTAATTTTTAATATTTTATAAATTACTTTTTCCATTTTTCTTCTAAATAATACTGTCAATAATTAATCATTATTCTTCAACATCTGCGCGTAAATAAATACCAATCAAACTGATACTAATTAAACTCCCGAGTACCAAGCAGCTGAAACTCTCATGAATCTGTGGTAAAGATGCTGATAACGAAATTTCTTATAAGATTAAATGAGCGAGGTTCACAGTCTCTTCTTTCTCTATCTATCGGAGTATGTCTTATCTAATCCATCCACGAAAGAGATCCACGAAACACACATATTAATTCGAATTAATTTATTCTATGCGAATGAATATTATGGAAAGCACGAAGATTAATTATTTAATGAGATCGACTAATTATTTCTTGGTCCTTCAGGCATTCACTTTTACATTTCCTTTCTAAATAACCAATTTAATAATTGTTCATAGCAATAATTTAGCGAAAAATGAGCACCAATAAACCTGATACTCATTAAAGGAGATAGATCTGATCTTCCAATAAACCTATTGCTAATTAACCTCGCCAAAGTCACAAGTAGATGAAACTCTGATCAACTCACAGTAACAATGACAATCAGATAAAAGTAGTTAACAAGATAAAGGGGGATAGGTATGAGGACTCACTCTTCCTCGTCAAGTGAAATATGCCTTATCTATCTCCATCCATTCGACAAACATTTTACTGTCCTCCCATGACGAAACACCTGAAACATTGATGGGGCAGGGTGAAATGGATTAAGCTCCATCGATGACCCCTTTTAATTACCTTGGAGTGGTTCTGATTAATTGAAAGTGAAAAAAAAAATGGAGAAACGAAGAACGAATAATGGGAGAAACGCACCCTGTTGAAGGCGCGCCAAATCCCGATAATTTGTTAATCGAATTAATTGGAGAAGAGTGAAAAAAATGTGGGGTAAAATAATAAAGTTGGAATGAGTTGCGCTGAATTGAGTGCTTCGGATTATATATACGATAAATTCGGCAGCCTCGCGGCGAGGGGCTTGAGAGGGCGGATGAGGAGGTGGGGGAGAAGTACTAATCACTTCTGGGGACTTTAATGGAGGTTTTCTGTACGCCGTCTACTTTGTCCTCGACTTATACTACTCCGGGGTGACTACACTTACTCGCGAATTCAACGAAGATGCGGAAGACGAGGATAAAGCAACCTCTGAGTGCTTCGGATAAAAGACGTCTCAATGTTTGTAGTTTTTATCCTTTCGTTAAAATAATTTTGTCTATTATAAAAGGAAAAACATAGTATAAGGACAATAGGATTCATTATTTCGTTTTTTTTTCTGTCATAAATTACTGGAATGATTGTTTTCTTGGATTAGAAACTAATCCTCGTAATTAGGTGAATAAAAAGGAAAGTTTAAATTTTTTGCCGTCGTAAAATCCTCAATTACACGTAATAACGAGACAAACCACCAGAGAGAGAACATAATATCAGGGGTGGGAGAGTGAATCGAGCGGCCCAACAGGTTGTCAATTCTCTCGTCTTTTTGAGACAGCTGAGTCCCATCAGGGTCAATGAGAAAAGAGACTCTACCAAAATTCATTTCCCTGACAGAAGATAAAATATTCAGAGGAAAATACAGAATTTATTTCATCTACGACACTTTAACATATTAAATTGGCGTTCATTGAAAAATATCAATCGCCTGTTAACTTTTTAACACGCAATCAATTCCATAGAATAAAACTGATAAGCCATTTTAATAAAGTCAATAAGGATATGATATCAATGAAGATGAGGTTAAAAAAAGATTAAGAATTATGAATAAGAATAACTAACCTCTCAAAAAGATTCGCTGTTGGAGGAAAGCAACAGTTGCTTGAATTTACTTCAAGTATTGAATATTATAGTGGAGCAAAATGGAATGCTAATAACTTTTCATTTGTCAAAACTATGGCGGACTTTTTTTACATTGAATTTGTTTACAAACAGTACACGGAGAGAAATATTCATTAATGATTACGGAACTCAAGTCCACTTACCCATTACGCGATTAATTTGAAGAATTCAAGTGATAGTAAACTGTTTTTTTTACAATCAATTATGCTAAAAATCACGTTATTTTAATTGAATGTTCTCCCGGTAAATCACCGAAATCAAACTCAAGTTCACTGAAATGAACTTCAAAGTCACGTGAAGTTAACTTTGTTTTGAAGTCATGGCCTCACTCAATCGATGAATAAATAGCCGCTTGATATAAACTGATTTCGAGTATGAATGAATGTGCAATGAGACGAAATCTTTACCTGCCATTTTTTAATTGAAAAAAACTGATCAAGAATTACATTTTTTAGTTGAGTAACATGGTAGGTACACTGATTAGGATTATACACTGACAATGATTTGGTTAATATTAGACAGATTCGGCAATCTATTATCTAATGGCTTAAATTTATAAATATAAATACAGTTGACAGACGTAAACGGTATCGACAACGTCAACGAATCAATCGGTGATACTTGCAGAACCATTCGTTCAATTCGATTCGATAGTTGCTAATATACGCAGAGATACAGTGTGTGTACCCCAATTCTTATATCAGTATCTTCGTTAATAAATGTCATGGAACAGACATGTGGAGTTGCTATTTCGACTTTTTCCCTATTATGGGCTATTTGTTAATCAATCAACGATATGTTTTCCCACGGATTGAAATCGATAGAAGAGTCCAAATAATTGATGTCATTACTATTAATTAATTCTCCATTTTTGCATTCCATTAAAAGAATATCTTTATAAATTCTTCAATTACCATTCGTTTCATTTGATGTTTTTTTAACTGAATGAGTTCTCTTCAATGAATCAGAATAATCTAAGAAATATAAAATCAATCTTTCGAATAATACTGAATTGGATATTTTTAACCACAATTACATGAAGAAAAATATTCAAGCAGAAAATTTAGTGGAACTATGGCAGATTTTTTTTTCAAAAAGTTGTTTAATATCGTCCTTTCCAATTCCTAATCATTGTAATCATTCTACTGGACAAAATTCGAGATTAAAGATTTGACTTAAGTAGTTGACTGCCTTAAGTACACGGACAGCAAATATATATAAAATTCTAAAAAAAACCCTTGAAATTCGCGAAAAGAGCAACAACGAAGATACATGCGTTTGGTATTTGTGATATTGGGGTCTCAACTCGGACAATCCCGGATATTGATATCATGGAAGATTCTCCATCATCAGACAAGAGCGAACTCTAGTCAAGTGAGAGATAAAATTGGTAAAAGAGGATGAGAAGAGTACGCGGACCTTCGTTTTGGTAGTTTCTCGACATCTCCCAGGGTAGGAGATCCAAGTCGAAGTCAGAGTGCTGGTGATGTCTCTTTTCCACTCTTTGGGGGGATCCAACTGGTTCCTCCACTCATGGGCCATCCGTGGGATTTATTATGCATGGGGCTGATGTATCGGACATCAGACGTGGAGAAGAGGGGGGAATGGAAAACCCGAGGGGACAGAGGTACTCTCCAGAGTGGACTGGGTCTGGGATGACGGCTCAGGACAAAGACGGAGATGGAATGCAACAGTGGGGGAAAGTACTTGCAGACTTTTACTCCTCTCTATCTGTTTCTCTCCATCTTCTTTCATCCCACCGCCCGCATCTCCTACGAGATCGTAGAGTGTATTGCTTTCTTTCGGCCAAACCAAACCCACTCCTATATCCTCACGTATTCCTTCTC